TGCATCACACTCCCTTATCTGAAGGAATAAAATCACTCAGTGAGTTGTTATTGGTAATCCATTCTCTGCTTTTTAATGTCTTAAGAGTTGTATGTAAATCATAATGCACTTGAAAATGTTAAAATTCATTATCACAATTTTACTGTACTTGAATATTTGTTTCCATTTTTATATCATGTTTTATTGTTCTATCAAGCAACCAGTAAATACAATATATTTACAGTCATATTATTTTCACTTCTTTCTAGAAATACAGTAAGTGAAAAGATCTATCTAGCTGAAAAGATGTGAACATCCTTTTACAGGTACTATTTCAGAATAGTTCTGAAGACAACTAAAAGAATTCTTTCTGAAAGGAATACTTTGTTTAATGACACTAGAATACATGTCTCAATGACTATGAGGATTTGTGTTAGAAATGTTCCATGTTATCTGAGTTGTCAATAAACAAAAAATTCATGTTAGAGTAATGTAAGATGTTGATACTTTCAAAACTGTTTTAGGTAGAATAAGATAAAAAAGGAATTTGCTCATTCTCATTCACATGTCCTTGAGAAAAATATGTGGCATTATTGATACTGTGTCTCAATATCTAAACAAAATTTTCCGTTTTAATGAATGTCAAATATTATTATATACAGTGGTATCTTGACTTATGAGTGTCCCAACTTACAGTTTTTTAAGATATGAACCATCTCGTGACTAATTTTTTTGCTTTGAGTTGAGAGCTGAAATTTGGGTTACAAATCAGCTTCAGATACCCCACAGTTAATTGGTGCAGCAAATGCCACAGTGAATAATAGATTAAGAAAAAGATGAAAAACTGCCATTATTTTGTCATTTCAATGTCTTTCAATGTCTGACAGGCTAGCTTATAGAAAAACACATGATCGAGTGACATAGACATTAGTTCACTTCCATGTTGTGTGCCGCGCCACTGTCTCTCATTTCTCAAATTTTCCATGTTTTCTTTCTTTATCTATGCAGCGAATGCTGTGACATATGCAAAACCAGTTTATTGCATTACATTCTATTGTTTTTATACAATATTCATTACTTTTAAGTACATTTTTCTTATTTTAAAACATATAACAAAAAAATTGTGGTGTTTAGGGGAGTCTGGAATGGATTATTGGCATTTCAATAGGAAAAATTGATTTGAAATAAGAGTAATTTGAGTTACGAGTTCTGACATGAAACAAATTAAACTCATAAGTCAAGGTACCATTGTACTTGTATTTTTCATTGCAAATTCTCTATAAAGTTTGGAATTAAATATGATGATGTATATTTTTTATATACTTTATTAATTTTTATAAAATAAATTTAAATATATATTTTGCACATACTTACATTCTTGATGATGGACACCTTGACCAGTANACAGATACATTTTTTGGATATTGACGTTGAGTTCAAAGAAGGGCACTTGGCCACTAAGGTATACGTAAAACCGACGCATAGCCCACTGTACATTCCATCCCACTCTAATGATCCTTACCAGTACAAAGTGGCTGCCTTCTGTGCCCTTATCCAAAGGGCCTTTCTCTATTGCAGTAGTGTGTTGGATAGGCAAAAAGAAATTAATAGAGTATTAAATATTGCCAGATCGCTAGGGTACAGGAAAGATATGATAATAACATTGATAAAAAAATACAAAGTAAACAAAACTAAAGCTCAAAAATGTGATTTCGGCAAAATCACAAAATTCACGTATGATAAAAAGAGAAAAGACATCATGAAGGAAATCGCAGTCTGCAAAAAATCCAAGTTAATTTTCAAGAGGGCTCCTAACCTGTACAAATTATTAAGGAATGACAAAGACAGAGTAGATAAAGAAAAAAGAGCTGGAGTATACAGGATTCCTTACGAAAATCGTGAATTAGACATCAATAAAAATTATATTGGTGTCACTAATAGAAGTTTAGGAGTCAGAATAAAAGAACATAAGTATAATATCAGCAAGGGATCTAGTGCCACTATACTATCGCAAATGGCGCAAGTTGAAGGCTCAATCGTCAAATGGGACGAAGCAGAAATGATTAAATCAGTACATTCACCAACATTGGCAAATTGCGCAGAAAAAATTGAAATATATAAAAGCAAATTGCATGATTCATGCATCAATTCTAGAGATTCTGAACGGTTGCCTTCGGCCTGGAAATACTTTATCAAACGATTGGACAGCTCTTAATTTAATGCGGCGATTTTAATATTTTTTTGTGCATAAAGTGCATTTCACTGAATTTCTATATAACGTTTTAATATTTAATTAACCTATGCTTATTTTTTCATATACATTTTTTGTTATTTGTAACAATAATTTTTATTTATTTTATTAGTCTGTATACATTTATATATATATTTCGCTCGTTATTTTATTTTATTTGTATTTAAATTTTTGTTCTATTTTATTTATATTCGAATGTTCTTAGCCTGACGATGGCCAACTGATTTGGCTGAAAACGTTAGCTTTACATTAAATTTTTTCTCAGCAAATTAAGGTGTTTTGTTTTTTGATTTATATACTATTGCTGAGTGTGTGTACATCAATTA